ATTAATTATCTATATATATATATATATTTTATATATAATACACTATATACTATATATGGATATACATATACATACATACATACCGTACATACATATAAATACACATACTCACATAAGTGTATAATGATATGTGTATATATATATGTTTATGTGCATTATGTGCGACTTTACTGTTGATTGCACCTCGCGGCCATTTTGGCTTAAGTGCTGTTTTTCTGTTGATTGTTGTTGTGTGTTGTGCCCTGTTGCTGTTGCTGGCTGGCCTGCGGCATGAGCATTTCCCCCTTGGCTGCTGCACTGCCCACCAATAATCCTCCTGTGGTTTGGTTGACTCCGCTGGGTCTGTGACTGATGGGCCTGCTGACCATGGGCCTCGTGCTGATGCTGATGTTGGTGGTCTGGCTCCGAGTGACACTGGCATGCCCACTACCATCCTGATTTTGTTGTTCCTTCCGCCTCATCGGGCTACTGAGCCCAGAGGCTAAAACCCGTGCAGCGCTCATTAGAGAACACCTGTATGCTCATGCTCACATACGGCCCCAACTTACTTGGGTGCCTCAATTTGCGACCTGCCCGAACGTGACCTTACGGATGCCCTGGCGAGAGTGCACCAGTGGCTGAGACACTTTGGACAAGCCCTCGGCGCGGTGGCTCCCGGCCGCTTCGCGCTGCGAGTTAGGGAGAGTGCGGCTACCCAGAAACAACTGTGTGTGTTGGAGGTGCGATGCTCAGCCTGGACCAAAGAAGCCTTTGACCGTGTTGATAGGAAGGCGCTAGTCTCATCCCTTCGCCGTCTTGCACTACACGACACCTCCTCTCATCACATACAAGACTCATTCCACGACACTCAAGTTCCTACCACCACGAAACTCCGTCAGGGATGCAAACTGGCCCCACTACTTTGGGTTGCCATGTCGACCTCGATCTTGCACGAGCTGAAGGGGGCCTTGTCGGGCCCTCACAGACAGGGGCACAACCTTCGCGGACGATAATCCGTGTCAGTGCCTGATTGAAACCACTGAGGATGTGCATACTTCTCCGCCTTTCTTGCCAAACCCTTAAAGTGATGGCTGATCTAGGACTACACGTCAACCTTACAAAGACGGCCTTGCTCTTCAGAGTACGAGGCACAGGCGTGAAACGGGTTCTTAAATAGTGTATCGCGCAAAAGGGCAACAGAAAGCCTACATGGACCTGCCCTTGTCCCGATTTGAGCGTTACACGATACAGACTCCAGGAGGCCAAAGGCAGGGACTACAAGATACATAAAACCATCAGATCACGACGCGTCTTTGGTCTTTCGCATAGACTGTGAATCTGGAAAGCATGCGACGTCTCCAGCGCAACGCTTGGGTTGGCGCCGATTGGCATGACTTACGCTGCGGCAACACCTCTTCGCCAATGCTTTTACATGCACCTTCGCGCGGTGGTTAACTCCCCCGCGCACCTTACGCACGATTAGAGATAAGTATCATGTGGAGGACCCAATTGATCAGCCGGAACTTGGTATAAGGAAGAAAACTGAAAAAACTGCAGCAAACGCAGAAGGACATCACAAATGGAAAAGATCTTCTGCAACATTGGCAAATTGTGCCCAGAGAGTACCAGGAAGTAACCACTGCTGCACTCCCCACACAAACACTTGTGCCTGTTGACCACACCGCGTCCGGGGTGGCGTGCCCTGAGTGTGGCCTGTACTTCATCTCAACCAAAACTCTTCGGCAGCACAGAGCTCTGCGCCACAAGGTTATGGTTGAAGTGGATCCCACGGAGGCTCAACACTACCAACCGCACGAGCATAGCATAAGCGGCATGCCCCAGTGCAGGTACTGCAAAAAGCCCTCCAATCGTGGGGCTCGCTCAAACAGCATGTGCTCACACATGCGTGCAGGCCACGACAGCTGTCGTCGGTCAGTACCGCAACTGCGGAGAAGGAGCGGTTCACATGAAGGGGAGCCGAATCCGGCCCCCAGCAACCACGATAACCATGATGCCCCGGAAGACGGCGCTGATCCGCGCCCAAACCAGAAAATCTCCTCACAGGTTCCCACTGACAGCACACACGCCGAGAATGAACTAGTCTCTTCAGAAGTGGCACCTAAGATGCCTCTTCTCATCTCAGACACCCGGATAACGCCAGTACCCTCCAACATCCCCCGATTCGCTTCTGCCTCGGCTGTCTGCTTCTGGTGCCTGGCTGCGGAGTGTGCAGCAGTGGTCAGCTGACTGTGGCTTCGCGCTATCTTGGCCAGGGCTCCCGATGCTGACCTTGCTGCGAGCGGCAAGCTGCGAAGTCGCATCTGCAAGGTCGCGCTGGTTGGCTGGGGTTCCAACGCTGGTCTCTCTGACAAGACTCTGACGTTCCTTGCCTATCACAGCCGTGGCGTGAATCAGGCCAAGGTTGGGTACCGGCATGATGCTCTGGCTGGTCCGCTGCGTGAACTCAGCACGGTTGTGGTTGCGGGGTGCTGGCCGACCTTCTGTCGAGGCTGCGGCTGTCGATACGAGAAGCTCCTCCTCTGCGTCTGCTGAAAGTGATGATGGTGACGAGCAGCTGGTGGCGTCTCTGCCTTACTTTGTGGAGAACTTGCTACCAACAAGCAGAGTGGGCAGCTTCACATCCGGTTCGTCAAGATTCTGTGTGGGCGGCTACTGAGTGCTGGCTTCGAAGTTTCTGGTCAGCTGGATGCCGGTGCCAAGAACTCTTGTCGTGCTTGTAAGACTTGTGCACTTGCTGCCTCCTCAGGGCTTCAAATCATCATCGCTGGCTGCCACTGTGCATAAAACAGGAGAAAGAGCAAGCGCAACCAAGTCGGGATAAAGTTGCTCACACTGCTAGAAGTTGTTTACTGCTGAACATCTTTTTTTGCAGATGTTTGGTTTGCGTGATATCGTTTCGAAAAGGAGAAGTGGAGATGCCGTTTAGTGTAAGGTAGCGTGCTGCAGTTTCATACTCAGTGTAATGTAGTGAACTGCAGTGGAATATGATTGAAACGAGTCTAAGTGAGTGGAATGTCGTGTAGTGCAATGTGATGTAGTGTATTGGTGTAATGTAGTGTGATGTAGTATGATGTATTGTGGTAATGTAGTGTGATGTAGTGAAATGTTACGTTGTTTCCCCTGATGCAATGTATTGTGGTGTGCAAAGGTGCGTGTTATCATACAATAAAATAACAGGTAGTTGCAAACTAAGGCAGTTGCAACCGCATGTACATGAATTGACTAGCGCATAATTAGTTTTCACGCAGAAAACAGACATGCACGTGTAGCTGCATGGTTGCCGACCGTTGCGGAAACACATCTTGACATGCAGATCCTAAGAAAAAGAACCATACTTCATGGTCATTTTTGGGGCAGGTCTTTTGACGCCTTATCTAAACATTGATTTATTTGATTGTTTATGCGTTTCTTTGTATCTTATATCGGTTTGTATATACATCAACACGCACACACACACACACGAGAACACACACACACACACGTAATCTGTACATACGAATATCGCTCTGCAACTGTGTTCTACTGAGAATCCAACAGTCCATTGCTTGACATGCAGTTGCTTCTTGAGGATGCTGCGATGTGGATGTAACGGCGACAGACAAAGTGCAGGGTTCGAGCAAGTTGAAAATTTGCAGCAGAGAGATTGTTTCAGTTTACACATCTAGCTTCAAGGCTAGCAAGACGAAATGTACTTAACGTGTTGTGCAACTAAAGATGTACTGAGTCCTTTTCTGGACAAATAAATGAAAAGACATACATGCATGCATGCACATACTTACTTACATACATACATACATACATACATAGTTTACATATGTTTCACCACATAAAACGATGCAACATAACGTAGCATTACACACTTTATCTTACGCTACATTGTGTTACATTACATTAAATTCATTGCAAAACATCACATGCATACAAGGCAAGCGCAAGAGAAGAAACATGCCGGAAAATGCATGTAACAGAACATTGTGGAAGAACACGCTTCCCGGAAAGATATTTGAGGTCTTCATGCGCGAATCAGCGCAGAGCTTGGGTTTTGCGTGTGCTCTCCTTGGAATGCTCTTGCTGCGTGTAAGCAACTTGTCAAGGCCGCAGCTTCCGAGGACGTGGAGGACGAAGCTGAAATAAAAGTAAACATGCAATCATGTAATCAGTGCTCTTGATTAGTAGGGGGCCCGCCCGGCCCTTCCCTTTGAATTGCGCAAATCACGGCCTGATTAATCTGGGTCGGCGGTCCGGGGAGCCAGCAGCCCGCAGATGGCACGCAGCAGCCAGCAGTCGCGGACGAACGAGTACAGTAGTTGTAGTAGCCGTCGTCGTCGTAGCAAAAGTAATTAGTTGTAGTATTCGTAGAGTATTAGTCGTAGTAGTAATATTCGTAGCAGCAGCAGCAGCAGGAGGAGGAGGAGGAGGAGTAGTAGGCGCAGGGTTGGTTTGTGATGCCAGCATTTTCTTGGTCTGAGTATGTTATTTCTCGAGCTTTGAGCTGTTTTTACTTGTTGGAGGGGGGTGCGCCTTTTCGTGCTTTTGTTATGTTCGCAGTTCATGTTTTGCTGAATGCTGTTATTTCTCGAGTTTTGGGCTGGTTTTGGGTGGGTCTTGGCAAGATCGGCGTTTTTTTTATGACACTGTTTTTCTGCGGTTTGGAATCTTGGAGTTTTGGCGTTTTTTGTTGGACGCTGCTATTTCTCGAGTTTTGGGCGGGTTTTGAGTGGTCTTGGTCTTATAGTTTGTCAGTGTTACGTTTTTGTTTTTTGGTGTTAAAGTTGTGGAGTTTTGTTGCTGTGATACATGGATGTCGATGACGGTGATGAGGATGATGATGTAACCGACCGTGCGCCTACTACTTATTACTCCCCCCCTCCCAGCCCCAAGCCCCCCGCCCCAAACCAAGCCAAGCCAAGCCATTTTAAATCAGGACTGCCTATCACCCAAGGCC